AGATTTTTAATTTGATTATGAACAAGTAAATATAATTCATATATCCAGTCAGTATTTATGAAACTTCCACTATATGCCAAGCATTGAGCTGGGCACTGGGAGTCAGTGATGGGCAAGACAATTGTCCTGCCCTCACAGCACTGAAATTCATTCTTGTAGGAACAGAGACACAAGCCAACGGGCACACAGAGATTAGTTTTATAAAGTGAATAAAGCAGTGTGATAGGATGGAGGCTGCTGAGGTATTGGGTGATAGGATTGTCCCCACATCTCTACTTCATTCCCCACCACCTTTATTCTGCTTTATTCCACTCTGCAGGATGAACTTTTTCTACCTCTCTGTCTCATATCTGGTGAAGATAGTTACTCCACAGTGCTCCAGTTAACATCTTTCTGATTTAAGAAGATGAAAAATGCCATGGCCAGTGTTGTGGGTTCTATTGCTGGTCAAGGGTACATACCTGAGTTGCAGGTTCAATCCCTGGCCCCGGTCTGGGTGCATGTCTCTCTCACATCAATTTCTCTCTCTCTCGCTCTTTCTCTCCCACCCTCCTTTTCTACCTCCTCCTTCCCTCCCTCCCTTTCACTCTCTCTAAAAATCAATGGAAAAAATATCCTCGAGTGAGAATCAATAACAACAAAAAAGAAGAAGCTGAAAACATTTTTTTCTGGAGGGAGAATTTGGCCCCATGTTGGATCAGGAGTGCAACCCCACCAACAATGGGCAAGGCAGAAACATTTAGAAAAGGAAAGATAAAGTTACAAAAAGTACAAGGGAACAGACTTCTCAAATTAAAACAAAAACAGAAAAAGCACATAAGTATTTTTATAAAAAGAAACTCAAATTACCAAGGTTGTATCAGTTACATTAGTCTGTTATGGTGGGAAGACAGTAACTCCCACATGATTATCAGTTTACAAAGGTTTTGATGTTCCCGTAGATATCAGCATTGAAAAAATCAGGGATAAATTGTTTTGGTTGGCGAGTTCGGGTTGACAGAAAATGCTCAAGGCTTTGCTATTTTGGAAGTCAGAACCAGTCAGGATGGCTCCAATCTTTGGTTTATCTCGAGGTGCAAAGTGCTCTGTCATCCTGGAAGCAGGGCCAACCGTCCGCTTTTGCTTCACAAGCTACAAAAATAGCAGCCAGAGCCCATTCACACCTGAAGGAGGCATTGAAACGGGTCGCTCTGAACTGGACAGACTTTCAAAAGAAAATGTTTACTGCTGCCTAGACATGCTAAACCTGATTAATCCTAATTACATGGCCAAAGACGTCGACACAGCAGATTCCTAAGTCTTCACACTTGACCAATACTGTATATAAAGCGCTTTCATGCCTATTTATGTAGTCAATCCTCAAAGCCCTGTGAGAAAAGAATACTAGTGAAACTTACTAAGCACTTCCTATAGGTGCCATCCAGTCATTGGTCATTTCCCCAGAGCCAGGCACTGTTCTAACACATTTACACACATTCGTTCATTCCATTCCCATAACATTCCTATGAACATAAGGTGTGCTTATCCCTATTTTACACGTATGACATTGAGGCACACAGGGGTTAAGTAATTTGCCCAAAGTCACACAGCTTGAAAGTGGTGTCGTTGGAATCTGATCCCAAGTAGTCCAGCTCCGAGTCCATGTCCTGCACAGCCTCTCTAGAAATGAGAGCTAGTCTATCAAATTTTACAGATGAAAAAAAATCAGTACTTCGAAATTAAGTGAATGCTCAATGTCACTAACAGAATGATAAACTGGGATTTTAAATAAATTCTTTTGACTTTGAGTCTGGTTTCTGTCAATAATAAAACAGCAGTAGTAATAGCAGTTAATTATATAGGGCTTATTACATGCCATGCACTGTTCTGAACACTTTACATACATTAGCTAATTTAATCCACAGCTCTGTGGCACACATATATTATTATTCCTATTTTACAGAGAAAATGGAGGCACAGAGGATAAATAACTTGCCCAGGGTCACACAGCTGGAAAACAGCAGAGTCCGGATTCAAACGCAGGCAGTCCGTCTCCAGAACCTAGACGGTTACTGTGAGCTGACACTGCATGGTCTACAGCCGTCGTCCTCAGCAGGATCAGGAGGGAGAAGAAAGGACACTAACATTTACTGGTCATACTTTTACACAGTGTGATAGATTGTATGATTGCTAAAACATTGATCGCCCCTCGCTCTCAAGCCTACGGAAGGATTACACTTTGCATTAGCTTGGTCATTGAAATGTGAATGGAGGTGATGTCATTTCTAAGCAGCCCTGATTAGCTGCTCCTTACAATTGAGAATCAAACCCACAATCCAGGTATGTGCCCTGACTGGGAATTGAACCCACAACCTTTTGGTGTACAGGAGAACAGTCCAACCAACTGAGCCACCTGGCCAAGGTTGGAGTTATTTGTTTTTATAGCATAACTCAGTCTGATTTATACACACACACACACACACACACACACACACACACAATATATAGGTGTGTATATATATATGTATATATATAAAAATTTATTTAATCTTCAGAAATACCCTGTAAGGTAGGTATAATTAGTTCCAGGAAGAAACTAAGATTTCACAGTTTCAGTAATCTGCTCAGTAGTATGGACTGAATATTTGTATTCCCACACACAAAATTTTTTTTTTATCCTCACCTGAGGACATTTTTCCATTTTTTTTTCAGGTAGAATGAGAGAGAGAGAGAGAGAGAGAGAGAGAGAGAGAGAGAGAGAGAGAGAGAGAGAGAGAAACATTGACGTGAAAGGGATACATCCAGTGGCTGCCACCCACACGACCAGCCAGGGCTGGGGACAAACTGCAACCGAGGTACGCGCCCTTAGCGGGAACCAAATCTCTTGGGACCGCAGGCGGATGCTCTAACCGCTGGGCCAAACTAGCCAGGGCAAAAGCAAGTGTTTTGACTTAGGTCTGCCTACTCTTTTATTTCAAGTATCCAATCTGTTTGCTCATCTATATTAAATGTATCTATAGGGTAAATAGGAAAACAAGCTGACATCAGTGCTGGCCAGCTGTGGAACATAACATTTATAATGAGCTCAGTCTGCAGTTGAGTCACTGCTAAAAAAAAAAAAATCAATGAGTTAAGAAGTTGTTTAGGAAGACACTGATGTCATGCATTTTTCACTAACCTTCAGACATTGGTAATTTTACAGGACTTTATTATACATGGCAGGCAATCACAAAAAATTAAGTTAAATGGATATTATTTGACGGACCTTAACATTCAAAACTTTTAGATACCATAGAAATGTGAATTTCATATAAACATGAAAATTGTATTAGAAAATGGGAAGATCGAGCTTGGTGCTTACATATCTGGTCCGTGATACAATGCATGTCTGACATGAAAGAGTCAGCTTGGAAGGAGGACGCTGACACCAACCGTTTTGTCACAGCAAACAGCTATGGAGACCCGAGAGAATGTTCTCTTTTATGCTGTGCCTGCCCAATATCCTTTCCATGCCAGACCCTGGCCTCTCTCTTTCCTTCTTCTTCTTTTTTTTTTTTTATCCTCACCCGAGGACATTTTTCCTTTTTTTTTTTTTTTGTTCAGGTAGAGTGGGAGGGAGAGAGAGGAACAGAGAGAGAGAGAAACATCAACATGAAGGGACACATTGAGTGGCTGCCACCCGCACGACCGACCAGGGCCGGGGACAAACTGCAACCGAGGTACATGCCCTTAGCGGGAACCGAACCCGGGTCTCTCTGGACCGCAGACCGATGCTCTAACCACTGAGCCAAACTGGCCAGGGCTCTTTCCTTCTTTTTAACAGAACTTTAATTTTGTTCAAGAAGCGCCCACCCCCACCTTGTCCCCCACCACACCCCAGGGATGAATTGCAATTAGTCAAGGCAATCACTGTGGTCTCATTTCCTTTGATGGAAATTGGTTTGCCAGGAAATGAGTCTGTAAGCCCATTCTGGCCAGGAGACAGGAAGCTACACATCGAGTTAAGGATTTGAATTGCAGTCCTGCTTCAAATGGCATTCTGCCCCATACTAGTACTCACAGGTGTTGATTAACTATTAAACTCATAAAATACAGTAGACTTTATTAATAGTTCATTGGTTAATCTTACAGAGGGATACAAGACAGGCATACAAAGTGTATAGTTTTGTCTATCACCAGGAGGCTCAGGGTCTACCCATGTATACCTGCTTCTTGCCCCCATGACCCACCCAGGTCAGGTACAGGTGCCACAGAAGAGCGGGGTGCACACATTCACTTGATGGGATTCTCACCAGAGTCTGTCTGGGGGCCAGCTTACTGCACTCTCTTGGCGCGGGTGCAGTTCCACAGATGGAGGATTTCACAGCAGACAAAGCAGTCAGCTTCCAGCACAAAGCATCCTCCTCTAGTCTCATATGGTAGTTGCCAAGGAAACAGTGCTGTGAGAAGGCAGAGCCAAGGTCACCTTCCCAGAGAGGTGTAAATCTGTTTGGAGACCCAGGCCTGATGTTACTCCTTTTTCACAGGAAAAAAATTGCCAGGGGCTTCCAGAAAAGATTTTCAGGCTCTTAGGAAGGGAAACAGAAGAAAATAAAGTCTTGTTCCTCCAGGCATTCTGTGTCTGAAATGGATGCTGGGACTACATCTTCCTGGTGCATTTAGTTTCCAAAGCTCTACTGTAAGACATCCATTTTCACAATTTCTCTCCTTCCCTCAAAACTCTTCCCAAGTTCTTACTGTCAATTGATTTCTTGCTTCCTACTTAACTGAGAAAAATTGAAGCAGTAACAGAGTGTCTACACTTTCCCACCACCACATAAACTATTCCTCTTTTTACCCATATCCTCCCCCTCCCCTCCTCTTACTACGGGTATATTGTCCACACTCCACTCTAAGTCCACACCTCCACCTGTGCTTTAGCTTCTGTGCCGACTCATCTATTCAAGTGTCCACGTTCGCAACTGTAAACCCTCCTCTTCCCTACCTGATCATCCATCAGCATACAGCCTTCAGCTTTTTAAAAAAATATGGAATGTTTCACGAATTTGTATGTTATCCTTGCACAGGGGCCATGCTAATCTCTGTATCGTTCTGATTTTAATATATGTGCTGCTAAAATGAGCACTATTTCCTGTTTGCTTTTATTCTTACCCAAGGATATGTTTCATTAATTTTTTAGAGAGGAAGGAAAGGAGAGAGAGAGAGAGAGAGAGAGAGAGAGAGAGAGAGAGAGAGAGAGAGAGAAACATCGATATGAGAGAAAAACATTGATTTGTTGCTTCCCATACAAGGCCCAGCTGGGAATCTAACCCACAACCTTTTGGTGTACGGGAGGATGCTCCAACCAGCCGAGGCAACTGGCCAGGGCAGTATTTCCTATTTTAAAAATCTCTCACCTAATCCCACATCCTACTCCAGCTATGGCTCATTTCTCTACTCCCCATTATAGCAAAACATCTCAAAGGAGTTTTCTGTCTGTTGTTTCCAATTATTTTTGTTTTATTATTTAAAAAAAAATTTTATTTTGAGGGTATGTTTGTTAAAGCTGGGGACAGTGAAACAAGGGCTTAGCCTAGAAGAAGCAACAGGAGAGCCTAGGCAGGGCTGCTTTAGGTCACGGGGGAGTCGGAGAAAAGGGGGCCTGGGAGACAGGTTCAGGGGGTTGCCCGGGGAGGAGCTGCTTCTGCCCATTGCTCCCCTGGTGGCAAGCCTCCTGGGGTTCTTTAGAGTTTAGGAGATGCATGCTTATGGGGGAAGAAGAGGGAGAAGGGAAAGGTGCGGGTGTGCTCCCCGGAGGGAGAGCTTGCCTAGTCTTATTTTTCTGAATTGAGTTTTCTATTACTTGTAATCCAAGTTATCTTAAATATAACTTCATAAACTCAATAATCTCTTTTCCACTGAATAGTGGTTGTTACTAAGACTCAAGATTATTAAATTGGGGACAAGAGTGTTTCAATATGAGAAATCCATCACTGAAACAGCAGCATATTGGAATACCTTTCAAATATGACCAGATTAAAGAAATGCTCATATCTAAATGTGAACAAGGATGTTACTTCCTTGAATTTATTATCGGCAGATTTCTTTTCTTTTTTTTTTTAAATTTATCTTTATTGTTGAATATATTAAAGATGTTCCTCATTTCTCCCCATTAATCCCCTTATCCCCACTCCCGGTTCCCTCCTGCCTTTCCCACACTGTTGTCTGTGTCCATTGGTTATGCATATATGCATAAGTTCTTTGATTTATTTCTTCCCACTCCCCAACCCCCCTTCCCATTGAGGTTTGTCAGTCTAACAACCAATTTGTACTTCTTAATTCCTTCACCTTTTCACCCATTCCCCCATCCCCTCTCCCATCTGGCAACCAAAACAATGTTCTCTGTATCTATGAGAATGTTTCTGTTCTGCTTATTCATTTCGTTTGTAGATTCAATTGTCGATATATATTCATTGCCATTTTGTTTGTTCATATTTTTTTTTTTATCTTTTTCTTCAAGAAGATCCTTCAACATTTCATATAATAATGGTTTGGTGGTGATGAACTCCTTTAGCTTTTCCTTGTCTGGGAAACTCTTTATATGGCCATCGATTCTAAATGACAGCTTTGCAGGATAGAGTAATCTTGGTTGTAGGTTCTTGCTTTTCATCACTCTGAATATTTCTTGCCACTCCCTTCTGGCCTGCAAAGTTTCTTTTGAGAAATCAGCTGACAGTCTAATGAGAGCTGCCTTGTAGGTAACTAACTGGTTTTCTCTTGCTGCTTTTAAGACTCTCTTTGTCTTGAACCTTTCTCATTTTGATGATGATGTGTGATGGTGTGGGCCTCTTGGGGTTCATCTTGTTTGGAACACTCTGTGCTTCCTCAACTTGTATGTCTGTTTCCTTTATCAGATTAGGGACGTTTTCTGCCATTATTGTTTCAAATAGGTTTTCGATTTCTTGTTCTCTCTCTTCTCCTACTGGCACCCCCAAGATGTGAATGTTGGCATGCTTGAAGTTGTCCCAGAGGCTCCTTACACTATCCTCATTTTTTTGGATTCTTTTTTCTTTTTGCTCTTCTGATTGGGTGTTTTTTGCTTCCTTATATTCCAAATCAATGGTTTGCTTCTTGGCTTTACCTACTCTACTACTGAATCTGTGTAAATTATTATTATTATTTATTTTTATTTTTATTTTTTTTATCCTCACCCAAGGACATTTTTCCATTTTTTGTTCAGGTAGAGTGGGAGGGAGAGAGAGGAACAGAGAGAGAGAGAGAGAGAGAAACATTGACGTGAAAGGAACACATCGAGTGGCTGCCACCCGCACAACCGACCAGGGCCGGGGACAAACTGCAACGGAGGTACGCGCCCTTAGCGGGAACTGAACCCGGGTCTCTCAGGACCGCAGGCCGACGCTCTAACCGCTGAGCCAAACCGGCCAGGGCAATTATTTTTTATTTCTGTTAGTGCCGCCTTCATTTCTGACTGTGCATCCATCTCTGACTGGTCATTTTTTTATGCTCTTGAGGCCCTCCCTAAGTTCACTGAGATTCTCACTAAGTTTATGGAGCATCCTTATAAGCAGTGTTTTGAACTCTGCATCTGTTAGGTTGCTTATCTCCATTTAGTTTAGTACTTTTCCTGGAGTTGTTATATTCTTTTATTTGGGACCTGTTTCTTTGTCTCCTCATTTTGGCTGCCTCCCTGTGTTTGTTTCTATGTATTACTTAATGAGAGGTATGGAGCTAGCTGAGACCAGATGCTGCTTGTTTGAGAGAATCTAAGAAAACCTGAAGCAGGATCCAAGACAGGCCAATCCTATGGTCAAGTAACTGGCAACAGCTTGGGTGGGCCTGAAAGCTGGGTGGGGCGGGGCCTCAGAGAATCACCAGGGCGGAGCAACCAGTGTGAGCCAGCTTGCTGGAGTCCCAGATATGGCAGCTGTCTACCGCCCCAGGGAAGGGCTCACCAAAGGAACAAAGGCCTCTGACAGCAAGTCTGTCCAGGAGAAAGCTGCCTCTCCAGCCCTCGCTCCAGTGCCAAACAACTCACTTCTTCCTCATATGACTCTGGTGCCTTTGAAGTTGCCTCCCCAACTCTGGAGCCTGGAGAGTGCGAGTCTGAGTAAGTCTGTGCGTGGGCCATTTAAGAGGAGCTGCCTGGGGCTCCAGCCACCTCAACCTGAAGCTAGTTTTTCCAGCCAGAAGTTATGGGGACTTCTCTTCCTGGCACTGGAACCCTGAGCTGGGTGCCTGGTGTGGGACGGGGACCCCTCAGTCCTCAGGAAGGACCTTCCTAGCAGAGGTGTCCTCCTGATTTTTATCCACCACACATGGTGTGGGACCAGCCCGTCGCGCCTCCGCCCCTCCTTCCAGTTCCATGGGGAGCCTTCTTTAATTCCATAGTTGTAGGACTTCCATTCGGCTTGATTTCAGGCTGTTTGGAATGATGGTTGTTCTGTAGTTTAGTTGTAACTTTGATGTGGTTGTGGAAGGACCCGATACTGCGTTTACCTATGCCGCCATCTTGACCGGAAGTCCAGATTTTTCATAATTGATTTATTTACTTATTTTAATCTGGGACAATATTAGATATTATAATTCAAGACAAATTAAAACATTATCTTTGCACCTGGCTGGTGTGGCTCAGCGGCCTGAGCGTTGTCGCACGCACCAAGAGGTCACCTGTTCCATTTCCGGCAGGTTGCACATCTGCCCCCTAGTGGGGTGGTGAGCAGGAGGCAGCTGATTGGTGTTTCTCTCTCTCCCTAAGAAATCAATAAAAATATTTTTAAAAAGAAGAAAAAAACCATTATCTTTGCAAACCAAGTATATGCTTTGTCATTCCTTTGAACACTAAGTGCTTTTTAAGTATTTATCAATAAGAAAAATACTGATTATACAAAATTAAAGATTTTAAGTTATTTTGATATTAGTGGTGCATTAAATGAAGTGGTTTAAAATCCTATTTTATTTATTATGTATCTTTTTATTAGACATATATATTATACATATATTAGATATATATCTAATAGCTGGTTTAATTCATAAGCAATCTCGATTCCATAGTGTTCTAATTTCTCTTAAAAAATACGCCTGAAATTTTTGTTAGTTTCCCATTCATAAGCATATTGAACTGTGGCAATAACAAAACCAGTAGGGCAAAAAAACTTCTGATTTTTTTGCCCTGGCCAGTTTGGCTCAGTGGTTAGAGCGTCGGCCTGCAGTCCAGAGAGACCCGAGTTCGGTTCCCGCTAAGGGCATGTACCTCGGTTGCAGTTTGTCCCCGGCCCTGGTTGGGTTGTGCGGGTGGCAACCACTCGATGTGTCCCTTTCACGTCGATGTTTCTCTCTCTCTCTCTCTCTCTCCCTCCCACTCTATCTGAACAAAATATGGAAAAATGTCCTCGGGTGAGGATTAAAAAAAAAAACAAAAAAAAAAACTTCTGATTTTTTTAAGAGATGGGAAAAGTGAAGTGCTTATGATAAAAATTGGGTTCTGAAAAAGATCCCAAAAAGGTGCAGCAATGCAAGTGAACCTCACAATTCTAAATTTAAACAGACATAAAACATCGTGTCTATGGGAGTCCAAAAGAACAACCGCACAAACACTGAATGGCGTAACAATAGTACTTGCAGAAGAATAAGCAATGCAAAAAGTCGGCAATGTTATATTGTCTCCTAAAACGATACTAAAATCATGGACTGATTTGAAAACATGATTTTTGGGTTCGTCCAACATTTCCTGAGTGTTGCACCTGCCTTGCTTTGCATTGAGTAAGCAGCTGTCAGACAAGGAAGTACTCAGAACATGAAGGTGATGGTTAGAGTTTTTCAGGGAACCACAAGGGAACACCTGAAGGAGCAGAGAAGATGGCCTGGAGAGCAGACTCAGGGTTTACAGGTTTGCTGTTTAAGACTGTATGATCATACAGACTCAAACTATGCAAAGTGAACGGAGCCACAGGAAAATAAATTGTATCTCAATACATAGACAGACATTTGTGATGGTAAAAATTACCAGGATTGAAGGAGTCATGAGAAAGGAAGGGGAACTAAGCACTATTATACCATGCGTACAAGTTATTTATTGCTGCATAATAAATGATCCCCAAACTCAGTGGCCTAAAACAACACACACTT